TCATACGAATATCTCCCCAAAAGAAGGTTTTGGGAGATTTGCTCAGGTTTTTGTATTTCTGGGTACAAATTTGTCCCCAAAATATGGTTAAGTAGGTTCACACGTGCGCGCGCACACACACACACACACACACACAGAGACACACACACACACCCACTCATTATCCTTAATCAAATAAATTCCTGAGCCACTGGGCTGTGTGACGGGAAACAGAATAGCTCAGGAGTGTGTGAGTGTGTGTGCACAGATCCAAGAGACCCGAGGATTGTGGAAATGTGTGTTGCTTGGAGCCGTTCTTTACTCAAGAAACGCTTGCACCAAAAAAAAAAAGAGTGTCCCAGAAAATCATTGTGCTTTGGAGAATACCGATTAGATCCAGATCTATCTATCTATCTATCTATCTGTCTATCTGTCTGTCTGTCTGTCTGTCTAGACACTTTTTTTTATAAAAGTCATTTCAGAGATGCAGAAAGGTATTTGATTGTCATTTATTCGATTTTGATGAAAAATAATAAAGAAAAATGCTTTTCTTTGGAATAACATGCTCTGAGGAATCGTCAACAATAAGACCAGAAACATGTATTGGGAAAATAAACATGCCATTTTTGATATCATTTTGACTTCAGTTCTATCTTTCAAGCAGGGTAGGAACTTTTGTTTTTAATCCTTAAGCAATGAAATGTATGAAGATAATGGAGTTTTTTGAGCATTTATCGTCTCTCTGTTCTTCAGGTGAGCTGCCTGTGTGTCCCTCATCATGTTTGTGGCGTTACACGTGTGCGTGTTGGTGGCGGTTTGTTCTCTGAGTGTTTCCGCCTCTCAGTCCTCGTCTTACGGAGAGCGAGGCTCTGATCTCGGCCTGCAGGTGTTTTTGCGTGTGGTCCAGGACAAACCGCAGGAGAATGTGGTCATGTCGCCTCACGGCGTGGCCTCCATCCTGGGCATGCTGCTCCCAGGGGCCCACGGGGACACTCGCCACCAGCTTCTCACGGGCCTCAAATACAAGAAGACAGGTGTGTGTTTGCACTGGTTTCATTTGCTTTCCTTAAGAATTATAATTTAGTGTGGAATTCAGATGTGAACGATACCTCAAACCAAACAGCATGTTGAGGATCATTGGTGGCAAATGACTAAATCTGGAATTTAAAAAAATAGGAATCTCAACCCTGTAAATGACATCTAGAAACTCATTTCGTGTGTTGATTCTGCTCTCAGGACCATATAAGATGCTGCGGAAGTTGCATAAGGCCCTGACGACCAAATCCAATGCTGATATTGTGACGATCGCCAATGCGCTGTTCCCCAATGAGGGCTTCATCATGAAAGAAGACTTCCTGACAGCCAGCAGGGAGAACTTCATGTGCGAGAGTCAAACCATTGACTACAGCGACCCAGAGAAGGCTGCAGAAACCATCAATGAATGGGTGAAGAACAGCACCAAAGGTACACCTCGCTTTAACCTCTGACCTGTGCATCTGATACCCATACCTCTAGCCTGGATTAATTAAAAAGGATTTTTACAATACAATATATCTCGAAATTTCATATTTATCACTGAATAAATTCTTAGCCCTTAGAGCTTTTATTTTTTATGTTAAATATATGTTGTATATAAATATATATATAAATATATAAATTTATATTAATAAAATAATAATGTAATAGGCACTTTCCATGAATAGTCCACAAACTGGGTTCCCATTATTTTTTTTAGGCATTAGAAGCACAAATCTTTTCCAAATGTTTATAAGAAAAAAATAACAATTTCTTTAATTTATAGGGAGTAGAAGTTTATCAGTATCTAAAAACAACATTTGTTTCCAATATACAAAGTTATTGGGTTTTGTTAGTTTTTATTTGTTTATTTATTTATGAATGAATTATTTACTCTAATTATTAATCTTAAAAATATTTTATATATATATATATATATATATATACTGTATATAAGTTC